TGACTGGCCCAACCTGTGTTTGCCTTCATGGAACATTTAGGGTCATTATCCACAGACACTGTGAGATTCTGCCTTGTCATTGTTGCAACATTTGACTGGACCTGATCAGAAAGTAAAGCACTTCGCAAACTCTCTGTGTTTTTACAGAGACGTCTCTTGACTGTAGGTTTCCTTCTCCAGAATTTCTTGACTCTTTTACAGTGTTGTGATGGGATTTTACTTTACCAAGGAGAAAATTCTGCCTTTACTCACTTCAGCTGTCTTCCGTGGTCCTCCAGGCCTATTTATGCTGCTGTGCTCACTAGTACAGTCCTTCTTTTTAAAAATGTACCAAATTGTTGATTTGGTCATTCCTAAAGTTTCTGCTCACACTGATAGATTGGCTTTGTTTGTTCAGTCTCCTTCACTTCATCACCTTTTTGGACCACATATTGCGAGATCTGACCAATGGCTACCAAATGCAATTTAACATCTAAAAACTTCAAACCTTGTGTATTTTTAATTTTTCATGAAATAATGAAGAAACATGCCACGCCTGGCAATGAAACTACTTATCAGTCAGTTGTCCTATTACTTTTTAGTCCCTAAAAGTGGAGGGAATATGTAAAAGAAACCCCCAAACCTTTAAAGCAATGTTTCAAGTAAACCTCCATATCCTGATTGCTTCATTTCAAATCCACTGTGGTGGCGTACAGAGGCAGAATTATGAAAATTGTGTCGCTGTCCAAATACTTATGTACCTGGCTGTGTTTTCTAGTAAGTGTAGAGTAAATGCTAAAATGTGATCAGCCTTTTCCACCAAATGAGTGTTTCAAAGGGTTATTGAGTTATGGAGCCAACTATCTGTACTGTTTACATTTGATATCAAAATTCCTATCTCTTAACAGCCATGTGGACTAAAAAAGTCATCACTGTATTTTAAATAAATAATCTTGTACATGAACAACAACATTCACAAACACACTCTCTCTCTCGAAAAAAACAAAGCAAAGCACAGTAAACAATGAGAATCAGCTGTCTTCATGTGTAGATCGAAGGATAAGCATTTTGAGACATGAACAAAGACATATACGGTTTAAGTATATGGTATTGAAAAGAGAGATTGTGGACTGGGGCACAAAAGGCAAACTAAAAAAAGATGAAGAGAAACAACAGATAGCAAAAAAGACACTTTGGCAACATATCTGCAGCATATGTTGCAGTGATTGCTTAGAAGCCACGCTGTGAGATGAAAATGGAAACAAACTACCACCTAGAGAGGTTACAGGTTAAAGCAACACAGACAGGAACCTTGAAAAGAGAAGCAGGAAAAACAAATCATATGTTTCATGTTTGTTGGCTACGGCTCTGTTTGTTGTGGTTGAGCAGAGGATGCAATGTTTTATTTAGTTTTTGACAACTGTGTTACCTCTCATCAACAAATCAACCGCATGTAGAAGCAGAATGCAAAATGTCCTCAAAACCATCCCATTATTTATTTTTTTTGTTTCAAAAGGTTTTTCTTTTTCTTTTTTTTAGTTCTCAAAGGTAATTTTTATCTTGGCGCTCTGCTGTGATCTGTTACTGGAAAACTGAAGCATCTGCTACGTTAAGAAAATAAAATGTACATCTGCTCACACATATGCATCCCCCCCCTCACACACACACACACACACACTCACAGGCCATTTTGCCAGGGGGGAATCAGTGATCTTGTTTTACTTCATATTTCCTTTAAATTGTGTGTTTTCACTGTGATTCTTCTGTTGGTTATCGTTCACACTGACGCTGTGGAGTCAGTATGTTACAGTAATATATGTTTAAATTGGTGTTGGTTTGTGCTCCCTGACAAAAGGTATCAGAATGAGTCCTCCAGCTTCAAGCAGCATCATTTTTATCATCGATAACAGATTTTATTCATATTACAATTACAATAAATGTTGATAAATCTACTTCGCTATGAAACTTGAGTTATATCCACCATTAAAAAGTCATTGGTCACTGTGGTGATTCGTCCTGTCCATACTAGTGGTGAAGCAATTGTCTTCACAGCATGACTGTACAGTTCTGTGCAAAAATTGCATCGTAAAAGTCAGCTTCAGGAGCATCAATTGTGTTACACTGCTGAGGTGTGGCAAATGAAAACAACCTTGTAGTTTTTTTGGAGCAGGAGAGGAAAAAAGATGTGCAGCAAGTGCACGAGAATCTGTGGACTGAAGGTGCCCTGTATATTGTGCTTTAGTTTGATAAGTTACTATGTAATAGATTATACAGCATTACTACATGAGACACTTTTAAAAGTGTGACTGTCACACAAAAAGGATGCTGTGAATTTGTAAAACCACTGACAGTTCAAATTCTGGATCAGATGTGCTGCAAAATGCTGCATTTGCTATTTTCTAATTGCACTGTTTGAAATTGCAACTGGGATTAAAAGTTGAGAAACTGTTCTTCCTTAAATTATAATACATGAATACACTTGTATTTCAATCCACGACATGGCATAATTTGACAAGAATGTATGAATATCATATGCTTTTAAAAAATATTGTTTTAATCTGCAGGGATAAACCTGTGCCCCTTTGGTAAGCCTCCTCTCTTCTCAAGATGCATTTCAGGAATTCAGACATCCTTCAAGATGGCGTGCTGAGATTGACTTGTGAGTCACAGACAGGAGGATGGAGGACAGAGGAGACGAAAGGGCTCAAAATAGAAAAATGAGACAAGCCCTTTCAGAATAGACATGTAGTTCAAGCAGAAGCATCTTGAGCAAGGAAATAAATGTAGAGAAGCTGCTCATTCTTTCTTTGAGGACGTGCCAAACCAGCCACGAGTCGGGTGTTATGCAAATGTGTTACACGGTGGCATAGATTTGTAACAAATGAAAATCCTGGACTTTAAACAAGATGTTTCAGGCAGGTAAGGTGCAGTGTTTTGTGTGGGATGGAATAGCTATCATTGGGATGGACTTTGGATTTTGACAGTTTGCAAACCTTTAAATGTACAAAAAGCAGCTATATCACACCTTAAAGGAAAAGAAAGACCACAAAGCAGAATATTGGCTCTTCAACTGTTGTAATTTCTTTCTTGCATTAAGTGCATCAAGTGATCTTTCTGTTAGGGATGTTAATGAGTCATAGTTAATTAATTAACTGTCATTAATAATTTAACAGATTAAAATATAAATTAACCAATGAGGGAGAAGACAAAGGATGAGCCTGTCAGACAGTGTATTGTAGCTTAGCTGTATTATCTGGCTGCACCACCAGGTGGGGCCTCTTCAGTTTAGCACTGTAGGTACCACATGAGGCAGTAACTTGGACTCCAGGCACTTCCATGTTGGTAAGCAGAAAGCATTGTGGGAATTGTGCTCATAACATGTCATCATGGAAAAGTGTTCTGTGATGCTAAGTGGCAGGAATGCTCTTTCCTTGTTAGCAAGCTGAAGTGCACTATGGTAGTGTCACTGTAAACTAGTGGCTCAATGTCTATGCTGATAACGCTGTCCTTACTACGTAACATAAGCAGGGCAGCTTGTGTCATGTCTATAATCCAAAGCAATTCCACTAGGAAATGGGATGATGTCTGTTGAGTTCTTAATGTGGTACTGGTTAATCAATTTCACTGATTGATAAGGCTGCCCACTATTGGTTTAGAAAATTTTCCAAAATTGCATTACTACTTGCGATGATATGTTCTAATTTGATACTTTAAAAAGTTGTATACCAGTGGTAAAGATAAAAAAAAAGTATTTATAGAGCTTTTTGTTGTGTCTAAGGGGACACTTGTAGCCTACAGTATTCTTGAGATGTTTCAAAAACTTTTGTCCACTTTGAACCTTTAAACAGACAAACTAAACAGCTTCAAACTGACATATAACTCATATCAGAGTATTGTATCTATCTTGTGTATCCTTGTGCAGGAGAAATGGTGTTGTGAAGCCATGTAAAATCCAAGCTGCTGTTGTTAATAGTGTGTTGTGCACATATCTTGCGCTGGAAAGGGTAATTTAAAGTTTTAAAACTCAAGCCTATCATTACTAGTTGACTGTAACAGCTTGCACGCTTGTTGGCAGAACCAACGATTAAACCAGGTTTCACTTCCTGCTAGTATGGACGGAGGGAATGATTGTGACCACCAGCTCTATCTTTGCACATATGGTTGAACATTGTGCTATCGCTTTAATAATCTAAGTACATTTCAAGAGTTTTCAGGCTAAGACAGGAAATATAATGATTGTGTTCTACAAGGTAGCAAATATTACAGAACAGCTCGGTAAAGCAGCACTGAAAATTGGATAATAGCTGTACTTAGTATGCAGACGGTTTGACATGATTTTTTTAAGGGAAAATGCATCAAAGAGCATTGTCAATGGAAACTGCAAGTGAGTATGAGATTAAAAGGAGAAATGAATCACCCCCGTGCTTGAAAAATTGCCTTTGAGAACCTGATATAGGTCGAGGCTAATTGAGTTGTTTGTTGACAAGACGTATGAGGAGCCCTGAGGCTTGCTGGCTTTTGTTACTGTACCTCCAGCCGACTGGAGCAGCTTTTGGGGGGAATTTCCTGCCTGTCTTCTCCCAGATGGGATGCTGAAGGTGTCAGCTTGTCTTTGTGGCAAGACTCCACACGTAAACCTCCACCGCCCCAAAACAAAGAGGCAGAACCGCAGCCAACCTCTCTTTCACCCCTGATGAGTCAAAACATACCCCCGTCACCGTGAGGTTAGGCAGGTCAAGCAAACTAACAGCAGGGCAGTGGAGCAAAATACATAAATCACCGCCCAGGAGACAAAGACGAGACAGAGAGTCAGATAGAGAGAGCAGGAAATGACACTGTGAGAGTGGAGACAGGACAGGCAGCAACAGGTTTTACTTTCTCTGCAGCCGAATCCAGAGAGCTGGCTTCCCTATTAGCATTCAAGAGGCAGGGCAGGAGGTGACCAGAGAGGACCTTTCTGCTTGAGGCGGTGACCTGAATGGCAGCGGGGAGGGGTTGGTCGGGGTCAAGAGGGATCTTACCTCGAACATAAAGGTTAGCTGGAGCCGAGTAGCGAGTCCCAGCGCTGTTGACTGCCACGCACTCGTACTTGCCCTGGTCGGACTCCTCGCTGTTCTCAATCTGAAGCGCTCCTGGGAAGGAAACCGAAATGTCACAGTTCAGATCTGCACCACACACACTGAAACACGCACACATGCACACACACACACACACACACACACACACATACACATACACATACACACACACACACACACACAGGTGTACAGTAGACTGATCAGATAGTAGTCCTACACACGTAGCTATTTGTAGCCTAAATGACCTTTAATCTGATTCTCACCCAACAACTATGAATAGAGAAATGAGTCAATATTTTGGAGGTCTACACTGCATCTAGTCATTCATGGCAATGACCAGCTACTATTATGCTTGCTTGAGATGGCCCTCATGGACTGTATTTTAAAAAAGGATGTAGCCTCCAGGTCTGAAAAGTGAAACTCATTTGAAACAATCTTAGACCTGCATTATTTGAAGGTCATGACAAAATGGCCCTCCTTCTCAACTAATCTGTTACCTCAGCAAATATTTTTCTAATTAGTTTATTGTCTCAATTTCAGACTTCCTTTGATTCAGCTTGGTGTTTATTTTGTATATTATGGTCTCGGTGAGAGGGAAATGGTCAATAAAGCCTTTGTGATTGGCAATTTGTTACTGTATGGGTGCTCTTAGAGGCCTTAGTCAGGTCCACCACTGGGTCATAATGTCTCGTTTCAAAAGAGCAAGATGGCAACGGCAAAATTCCAAACTTGATGCTTCATACCAGTTATCCACAAACTAATAGGTGACATCATAGTGGCCTTTATTTTTATATACAGTCTACATCAGGACTCCTGTCCAACCTGCTTAGTACTTGCTGCAGTGTCACGCTAACAGTAGCCATCAGCACATTTTTAATATCACATTAGAAAAAGTTAATAGAAACTACAAAATTTGCGAAAGAAAAATACACATTTTTTACACTGCTTTGACCACTAATGTGCCAAAACAACAAAAGTATAGTCGGTACTAGATGAAACTCTCGTTCTACATAACATTTTTTTTTTTTTTTAAATATTTATTTGACCTTTATTTTACTAGGTAAAAAAGTTTTAGAACCAGTTCTCATTTGCAAACATGACCTGGCATTTTAGGCCACTCTAAAACAACCTGCAAGTTTCTGCAGTGGAAAACAGCTTAATTGTAATCTTTGAGTGCAGTGTGGCTCCAGTTCTAAAAGAGGGGCAGGAGATACTTAAACAATAAGGTTGAAAGTAAAGTAAGTACATTTTTCTAATTATTGCACCGGGTGACTTGCCTCTTCATTACAATTACTTCAGGCACTGGAGTTAATTATTTCTTTCCAAGTCCCTACAAACTAAATGTGTATAAATCCACAGATTAAAAAATAATAATAAAAAAAAGAATGTCTCAATGATCCACAACCATGGCTGTAGACGTGTCGGTCAATATTTATGTACTTATTTTGGGATTTAAACTTAATATTTGTTTTTGAGGATGGAGGCATTCACTCTGAAGTCCAAATGAGCCATTGTACTGCTAATCGCATTGGGCCATGAAGACTAATTTCCTGTTATTCTGGCAGAACCATTTCAAAATTGATTGCCGCATTATGGGATTCCCTAACGTCCACTCACTCTGAATGACAATCATAAGACCTTCAGGTTCTTGAACACATCAGAAACTGTTGCAGAGAGGACTTTTTCCTAATACCTTTAGCAGCTTTTTCAAGGAGAAACAAATAACAAACAAACAGAAACATAGGTTTCTTGCTGTTTTTCGATAAAATCCCAAATTATCAGTGAAAACCCTTAAAAACTCTGACTGGTCAATGCCGAAAGTAATCCTGTCTATTATCTTGTGTTTCCTTTGGACAAACCCTGTCTCCCGTAACCTGCTCTAAAAACACACAATACTTACCTGACACCACGATTCAGAACAATTTCATAGCATTTATACAAACATATAATCAACATCTGTCATTGGAGAGGTTAGGTTTGAGATTGAAAGCAAGAATGTTTCTTTAGTAATTGTGCAGCATTACATATTGACTTTGAATGTGACATACATCATGCAGTAGCAGTGGACAGTAAAAAATATGACAAATACAACGTTGAAAATGTACATATTTCAGAATACAATCCTGAAATGCATCATGAGATGGATTTGTAACACAAGCTAGTTTAAGATAATGGTTGAGATAATGTACGTAAAGCCACATCCCTGGTGGATCTGGTGCAGACGGTGAGCCCAGAGATGGAAGAGGAGCAACCTTCATGTGGGATGCAGTCAGCAAGGACATTCTGCCTGTATGTATGTCCTTTAACTCACTTTCTCTCTCTCTCTCTCACACACACACACACACTATGTAGGAAAGCCTTTATCCTACATATCACAAAACATCATGTCAAAAGGACAATGACAGAGCTGTGTAGCTATTTTTATTTTGTCTCCCATTGAGGATCCTTCCAGGAGACCAAGGTGTCACATGTTTGTGGACTGTGAAATCTCTTTCTCTATTTCAATTTTTACTATACTGAAGTCATTTCACATTCAACACCTTTACATGGCAGAGGCCTTTCAGAAGGAAATGCTTCATTCTCTCCTGCAAACAATACAAAAAAAAGCATGGTGTGAAAAAGGCTAATCAGTGCTTCTAGAGAAGGTGTAACGTCTTATGCATTAAAAGTATGAAGCCCAAAACAAACTTCTTCTGCCCTTCAGGCTCAGAGTCTTCAATAATGGAGCACGTGTTCCCTTCCTCTGCAGTCGAACCTATCCATTTTAATGGCACACAGCTGGTACGTTACTAATTATGCATGTTGCAAGCTATCGTATATGCTTACACGCTCACTGTCACGACCCAGACATTGGAATCTCAGACAGGTTTATTGTAACCTGCTGTACTTCCCATAAATGTGGCCATCGTAGCTCTAAGTGTCATGCTAATTTTGTATTCTTTGCCACCTCAGAGATTTGGGGAAACAGAATTTAGCGAGTCAATTAACATAAGCTCCCTGCAGCTTTCACAAAATAATATTAATAATAATAATTTCAACATGAATCATTTTATACATTGTTTTTTTTAATCTGACTGCAGTTAAACACAGAAATTAACTGTTTGGAATGAACATTTTGTCAAATGCATTACGGATCTCCATCCAGCGATAGTTGCTGTCCTTATCACTGACTTATTCATCCACTAGTTTGTTTCCACTGTGTCTGACTTTTACAGTGGGGATGGAGGCAGAAGAACACCAGAAGGTCCTGAAAGACAGCGTACCTCGGGAAACCAGTGTTGTCCCTGCGCTCATCGTTGGCTATTGACTGAGAAAAACTGTTGCTGCAAAGAGTGAGACCTTAATAATCTTCATGCGTCTCTTGATTAGAAGAATCCCAGCTGTGGAACGACAAGTAATGGATCTGCAGCTTTGATAAATATACTGGAGATGGTGTTTCTCCTCTCCAACATCAAATGGATTACTTTGAGGAGCCAAACGGACCACGTAGCTCTACACAGGTCACTAAAAGATAATGCAGTGTTCAGAATGTCCATTTCCAGGTGGCTAATTTCTGTTACCTTCTCGTCAGACTCAAATAAATGTTTAAAATTATTTATGTAAAAATCTGCTTTCTTTGGAAACTTGCAGAGATCTCCTGCTAATTGCTCACCACAAAGCTCATCAAATGTCTCCAACAGAGCTGAAGAGTGCAAAGTTATTATGATGCTCAAAAGCACAAAAGCCACATTAATGGAAAATACAGCAGGTTGAAGTATGCCAGAATCCTTTAAGTAAAGAGGAATTTGAAGCTACAGCATACTTAATGTATATACAACACATTCATCCTAGCCAAAAGCCTCATGAGGAAGTTGATGGGAGTGTACGGCTGTGTTCACACAAGGAGTTTGGTTTCATTTAAAAGGTTTGGTGCAGTTTGTCCTTTTGGTTCAGTTTGATTAGGCTGGTGTCAAAGTCAGAACCAAACAACTGGACTGAAAGTGGCCCTGAATTTAAATGAGCACATCTGTGTGTCTGTACAGAAAGACATAGTTGAGAGCAGCTACCCATGGCTACTTAGGGCAAGATGGGACAATGTAGTTAAATTTGCCTTTCTGAATCCTGAAATGTGCTGATTAGAGCAATCTGTACAGGTAATCTAGGATTATATAAAGAATGCATATGATAAAACGGTAACATGGTATTTGTCAGCATTAGTGTGGGAATTAGACTTACATATTAAAGCTAAAAGGCAGTATTCTTGTGTCAGCTGAATGTCTATTGGAAGTTTCTTGTTTAGAGCTGCAAGGATTAGTTCATTAACTACGTAGATAATTGCTTATTCTGTTTTAGTAGCAAACAAACAAAAAATGTCTGAATTCTATGATAGCAGTTAGTTAAATGTCAATATTTCCTGACTTCTTTACTCCTCCTAGACAGTAAACTGAGCATCTTTGGTTTTTGGATAAAACAAGACAATAAAGACGTTATTCTATGATTCTATTCTTTAAACTGATCAACATTTTTCACCATTTTCTTATATTTTTCACAGTAAACGACTAATTATGACTTGACAAATGACTTAATTCACCAATTAAGAATTTAATCAAAAAATGACTAGCGTCTTAATTCAGGTAATGTATACAAATGACAGTTTTCTCTGTGAGTCCATATTGCACTGTCAATGCTGTCATCTGCAAAGCTGTCCAGCAACGAGTTGCCGGTCAAAGAGTATGACTACATGTGAACATAACATTACCTAAAAAGAAACTATTTCTATAACTCATTTGTTTGTTTGTCCCTAGAAAGCAACCTGAGGCTACAGTCGCCTATTGCAAACAGAAAAAAATAACTCATTCACTGGCCAAACTTGACTACCTGTCTGTATAATCACATTTACGGTGACATCAAAAATACATTTCATAGCACTTGAAGGCTCTTTTTCAGACAATGATAGGGACAATTCTTCATTTATTTTGGGGGGTAAATAATAGCTGCGAGGCGCTGTTGAAATATGGATTCACTGTGCACATGGATCAATGACAATCTCTATACACCAATGTCATATTCTCATTCTGGTCTTGATACCGTGAAAAATGAATAAAATAGCTGTGTGGTTTAATGCCACAGCAGTTTGTTAACATGAGTTTCACTGTGTTCTCTGTGCTACAGTCATACTGTGAAGGGAGCCAAACATGGATTCAGCAGTGATACAAATTTTAAATAATGCCCTTAACCCAAAGCCTGCACGTTAACGATCAATATTGTTGATTAATTGTTGAAATAAATGCACACAGTGAACACTTGTCTCGGCTAAATTAGGAATTTTAAAAAACAGAAACTAAACATTAGGTTAAACTACAAGTACAAAAAAAAAAAAACACTTTTAAAATGATGCTCAACGACTGGGCTGACAAAATCAAAAAGTATTAAACACAGCACATGAGCTGCGATCCTGAAACACTGTAAATCACTTCACAGTGGTTAGATATCTGATCTGTTCATGTTAATCCAGCTGCTGGAAAGAGCTGCTCAGCTAGAACAGGTGTCCACAAATACTGTCGTAGCAACTTTATCAGTCCAAAAAACATATGCAGACAAAAACACCCTAACACTAACATATTAATGCTAAAAATCTGAGTTGAATGCTAGCATGAGCCTCCGGTAACTTGCTAAACCAGACGGCAGCCAGACACCTTTTTTAGAACTTGATGCTGCAAAGTTCATCAACGTAACACCGTTAGCATTAAGACAGCAGGAAAGTCCAACTGTTCTATTTTGCTTAGCTTGAGTTGAGTCTTGGTTTGCAGCAGACTGAGCAGGGCATTGTAGCGATCCCTCTTGCCAGCATTGTTTTCCATTTCCTCTTTGGAGATCCGAGGGGTTCCCTGGCCAGATATGGCATATAATCTCTCCAGCCGGTTCTTACTCTATTCTAAATCTCCAAAGAAATGAGGCATCCTCATAAAATGTAGAACCGCCTTAGCCTGCTCCTTTTGACGTGAAGGAGCAGTGACTTTACTCTGAGCTCCCTCATCCTATCAAAAGGCTGAGCCCAGCGATTCTATAGGGGAAACTCATTTCAGCCACTCGTATCTGCAATCTCCTTTCGGTCACTACCTTGAGCTCATGATCACAGGTGAGGGTTAAATCGACTTTTAAATCAAAAGCTTTGCCTTCTGGCTTCTTCCTGACGATGACAGTATGATACAGAGTGTGCATTATTGCTGACGCTGCACCGATTTGTCTGTCCAAGTCATGCTCCATTTTCCCATCAATGTGAACAAGATCCAGAGAAACTCCTTCGATTGGATGAGTAACTCACCGCTGACCCGGAGAGAGCAATGCGCCGGTTTGCGACACAGAACCAGGGAGCAAGCTGGGAGATCTGCTGCTTTTATGGACCTTTACAGGCAGTCAGCACACACACCTGTAACTCCATGTCAATAAACAGTAAGTAGCTCCAACTGGTAGCGCGAGCAGGCTATATTTTACATCTTCAGTGCATTTTCTGACATGTGTGTCCCTCGTCCTGTGTCTTATCAGTTAATATTCTTTGAATCAATTAAATTCTTAATAGCATTTAATCAGTTAATAATTAATCATTAACATCGATAGGTGATGTTAGATAAGCCTAATGTGATGCACTCAATCAAAAAGACAAATAAAGAACAATTCTGCTTTTAAATCATTATTTACAAATGAACCAGAGACCACTTCTCTGAGTTGGATGGCTGTGTTTGACGAACTGAAACCTCTTAAACTGCACCAAACATGTTGAGCGTGAACAGAACCAAAATGAGTTTGGGTGACTGAGACTTTCATTAGCCGCTGCTGCCTATAAACCAGCTGTAGCATCGGTTCGTAAGTTGTTGAAGTGAACTAATATTAATGAAAACCTCTGACCGGTTATGTGCTGAAGGCAGAGAAAGTGTCGGAGCGAGCAGGCAATAAGGACAGAGGACAGGAAATGGGGACACACTGAGTTGGCAGGAGGAGAAGGATGAAGGTGATGGAGGGCAGTGTGGGTAGTGAGGAGGAGAGGAGGGTGAGTTGATGTTTTCTGTACCCAGCATTCTTACCTCTTATTGGTGTACCACCTGTGAGGTAATTTGAATGCAAATAAGATTAGAGATAACCATTAGTATAAATAGAAGACAGAGAAACAGAGACTGTCATTTCTGCATCTGGTTATTTACTGTAACATAGTGCTTATTTGCATGATACACCTGGCTGTTTTCTCCACAGTGCTGGAATCCTGATCATAAAGCCCCCCTCCCCCATGAAAGCACCTGACTATGAAGCAGTTGAGCCTCCTTCATCAACAACAGTCCTGTTTTGGTTAACCCAAAGGTATGTTTTTTTTTTGTTTTTTTTTCTTCTTCCTCCTACATTCTTCAGTAACAAGACAGATAAGGACACAAGCTGCCAGCTTTCCTTCTGATGCAATTCACAGAAACATGCACTTGTGCCCTGAAATAGTTGGTGATGTTGCTGCTTCAGTGGTGGAAAACTCTACCATCAAGCTCCAAAATTAGCATGCTATATTAGCATACTATAGATGTATTTCTATGGCAGTTGTCACTTTTTTAGGTCATACAAACATTTACCAGTGTTTTCTCTTTGGACTATTTAGAGCTGAACCAGCTGAGGGAAATGTGCAATTGAGATTTTTTGTGCCAATTTTGCATTTGTTATTTTAACTCCTATTACTTTATATGATAAAATAAACAAAAAAGTTATGATCATGCCAAGCATAATCCCAAATGTATTTGAATTCCTTATGTAGTAGATCCTCCCTTGTGCTGAGCTCAGACGACAGGAGTCTTGGGCGGTTTTACCCCCTGTTTCACCCCTCCACAATCAGAGAAATCTGTTCTGGGATCTTTATCTAAACCGATGTTTGGCCCAGATTATTTGGTGATGTGGGGAGTTTACAGATCCAGTATTAAGCCTCCCAAACTGCTTGCAGACTCACTTGGGCCACCCTGATTAATATCAAACATGCTAGATATTTAGGAGATAAATGTGGATGATCACCATGCAACTGCCCAGAGCAGCGGATGGTGTTGCTAAGCAATACTGGAGATTCCAGTCCTTGAGGCTAATGTTAGGCACAGATACAAAAACTGATAGTTAAAATCACGAATCCAGATCTTACTGAGGAATAGACAAACTATGTTGATGGCATCCTCTCAACCATTTTTTAATCCAGACTTGCTTAGTTTTGCTTTTTTTTTCTAACTGCAAAGTATGTAGGTGTAGTAGGTGTTGCCCTTCAGTCTCCATTTTGTTTACATCAGCTTCCCTATAATGTGCAGAGTTGCTCTGCTCCCTGACTGCTTCTTCTCACATAATAATCCTAATCATATCCTGTAGAGTGTGATGCACTATTATTTTGTCATGTTGTAGTGTTTGCATGTCTGAAATAAGAGACAAGAAAATCTATAACGTTTCTTCTTATAGCCTGATGCAACTAGATTTTACTATTTGTTCGGACTTTAAAACTCCTGTAGTCTACGCCCAGCATTACTTTAATATATTTGGTTTAAAAAAAAAAAAGTTGTATCATGAGGCTAACTTATGACTGTAAAACTGGCTTGATTCCGATAAAAAACTGACTAATTATGTTCACATTTAGATATAACCACAGTAGGGCATTCAGCCAGGCATAGTAATCATAACAAATCAATGATTTTGGACAAATTTATGTTTGATAATATTAAATATTACCTAATGAGTTCAATGTTTAACCAAACCATCATGTTTAAAGTTTAGCGGGTGATTCTGACAACTACTGAACACATCTGTCATTTACATGAATTGTAAAGAGAAGGAGATATTTCTATGTCCACTGGTTCTGTAAGAAAAAAGTCCCTGATTCATTTTTGGACAGTTGGAGCAGATCTAGAGCTCAGAAGGGCTTTAAACTCTCCTGGTTGAGTCTTCAGTGCAAAAGACCAACAACTATGTAGCTACATCGCTTTTTTCTTTCATTAAAAAAAGCCTAAGCACTTCTCCATAGCAACATCTGTTCACAGGTCACAGTACTGAAAGTTGTTCATCTGACTGGCAGGAAAACATTTTTCATAAGTAAAGCTGAAATAATTAAAGCTGGTGGCCACAGCATTAAACTGCGGGCTGTAAAATGCCTGCAAACACCAACTAAACTTCATCTTCACCTTCTGTAGCTTGTAAATGATAGTAGAGCTATAATTATAGGTTGTAATTAAAATTCCAGCTTGTTGTCATTTGAAAAAAAAAAAACACGAACTTTAATTGCAATTTAAATAGGATTAAGTACTGTTCATTCTAGTGGCACTGTAGCAGCATTTCTCCTTTAATGCTGTATTTTACTGGTGTGAGGAAGTGGGGCCATTTGGGCATATTAGGTCATATACAGTAGAGGGTAAGAGAGGGATGGTTACTATGCAGATGCCACTGATCTGGATAATAAACCAAGCCATCAGATAGGTGAGAGATTGCAGAAGGGGAGCCCTGGAAGCTGTGTGGCCCCTGGGGTCTGATAAGGGGGACATCAGCAGCTTCCAGAGGGCGGGACTGGGCAACGCTGAGACCTGCCATGACTTGCCCCCCGCAGCTGTCTGTCAGCTGGATGAATCCCACACCACTTCAGCATGATGTCATGACAGATTTCAGGGTTTCATTGTGAAAAATAATAGGACTTTATTATATTTTCACAATGTCTGGATTGGAGGGATTTTTCTCTGTTGTAGCATCCATCAGGAAAAGATGTAGTAACGGACAGGATCTTCATGTTTCAGCGGAGAACACTGCTGCAGGTTTGCTCAAGTTGTGTATCAAACTGTTAGTTTGTTGTGCAAGATGCTCCAGTTAAATCCAGAACGAACGAAACCAAACAAAATCCCATCACATCATGTGATTGGCTCTGAAAGGGGGTTGGCACTCGTTGTATACAGTTTTCTTTCCGCAGGGAGCACTACCTAAGCTGTGGAAACACTTGTATGGTGTCCTCTTTGGCTCTGAGGGAGCTTTGTCATGTTTGACAAAATAACCCAGATGATGTCAAACAGAAGGCCTGTGTTACAAGCACATCATTTTTCATGTTATCACCAGTATTTATGCTGTCCAGGTCAACTGGCCAAGTGGTTGGTCAATATGCTCTCATCTCACTAAATTCTCATTCGTCTTATTACAAATGGCTGTTGATTCGCAGCAGAAGATAATCAAGCAGCTCAGATAAAGCATTCCATTAGTGCTTGCATTCTACACCTGCAAGTATAAGCAGGATGAAGAAGGTTCTGAGAGATGCCAGACTTGTTTTGGCAATACACTGCTTCTATTGCATCACTGCTACTACTGGGCTGAACACAGCTCAAGTGGGAATCCCTTACATTATTATTTTTTCACTACACAGAATCATATATCATGGATCATGGTTTTTCTAGATGTTTTTCACAACAAAAATAAAAGTTGCTTTTTCTGCTAAACATTGATTTGTATGCTTGGATTAAACATTCAGCAAAGTTGGATTCTGATGAAATACACCAGATTCCAAGATTTAAAGTTCAGGAAAATGCTTGGTCCTGATCTGACTTTCTTTGACCTGAGGGAATGAAAGTCAGACAATCTCTACTTTTACATTGATTCTAACCATTTTTTGAAAATCTATCTCTTGCGAGAATCAAAACTTTCTGCGACTGCATGTACCATCGCTGGAGAACCCCCTTTAAGAGCCAATTGCTGCAAAGTAATTTAGCTTTGATCATCGTCAGTTTGCCTACACATGGGAAACTGGAGTTTTTCTTCTGTCTGAACTGGAAGCAGAACATTTTCAGCGCTTTTAGAAGTTGTCAGTGACTGGTGGTTGTGTCCAGTATAAACACATGCTTATTGTAGTGTTTGAAGAGCTGAGAGATGATTGAACTTCATGTTTCACTCCAGCATTGTTGAAGCACTGGACTATCAGATCCATCTTGAACGTCAGTCTCTGGTCGGTGAAACATCACTCCTTAATGAACAAGGTTTTGGTTAAAATTACTGGCAGAGAAAGATGAGCTTCGGAACACCAGAGGAAGCCTTCACGAAAACATCGGGCATTTTTTTCCTTTTACAAAAAGAGCAAAGGCCTTAAATTGAAAAAGGAAGCTATCAGAGTTTTTTAATGGATAAAAGTCATTTAATAGGACTAACTACTTCAAGAGCAAATGTGATCACTCCTCTTTATAATGAATTCTGCTGAAACAAATAAATTGAATAACTCTGGAGTGCTCACTTTATGACTACATGTTTCACTTTCCTAGTGTGGCACAGGATAACTCAGATTTTTTATTTTTTTCTAATATAGGAAGGAAGCCATCTGTGCTGCGCTGCTGTGGGATTGCATGCAACGACGGGGCCCTGTGAACCAAATTGAAACAAATTGCCATGCTGTTTGGTTAATAATACATGGCGTGTCTCTCCCCACTAAAGGTCTTAAATCCTGAGAGTGAACTTTACTGCCAATGGTATCTTGCAGCCTGCCTTTCTGCTTCCCTGGGTTAAGATCAGAGCAGCCATGAGAGGGGCCCGGGGCCCTCAGTGGTGGGAAATCTGCTTCTTACAATTGCTGCAAGGGCTGGCAAGACAGTCTGGAGCTGGACAGCCATTCCATTGTTGTGTAGGTGCTTTTTGGCAGAAATCAACCATTTCTATTTTCTCTCAGAAAGTGAGAAAAAGGGCACCTGACAGGTTGCATGGAGCTCGGTTACTCAGCCAGCAGCCATCCAGCTCTGCGCTGAGCTGCTGGGCCTGGTTCTGTGGAGAAAGATGCCCTATCTGCTCCTCTGGATGCTGGCACCCTCCTCACAGAGCTGCTTCATATGGCTGTCTGTGCTTTAACATTCATCACCGTCTGTGGTGTGTTAAGCGCTGTTGGCACACCAATATTCCCACACAGGTGCTGCTCAGGTAATTACTAAAATTTGCGAGCTTCTTAAAAGTAGGAAGCATTTGTCTCCATCTGAGCTTAATGCATATTTTACTTTCTGAAAATAAAAGTTGGCTTAAGCGCTTACACTTTGATTTACAAGTTAACCCAATCATTGGTATTTTTGATGTAATATAACTGCCAAGTGTGGTGTTCCATGTAGCATTAATATATGATCTTTCATCTGCTGGGTGCATTTGTGATGTGGCTGTGATTCTGTACATATTTTCTGCTATGTTTGCCTTTTCCCAAGAGATACATGTAACAGGGACAAGCAGATCCAATTAAAAAACTATTGTGTACTTTGTGACCCTGAGGGCTGGGTTTTAAAATGTTTTAATTTTAAAGCAATTCATGGTCTGTTTGTTTCGCTCTTTGTTATATAGTTTACTTATATAAACAATATAAGCAAGAATGAGTTATTTAACCCTCTGCACCCAAAAAACCCACAGATGTGTTGAAAAGACACGCTATCTTTAAAACAAATAAATAAATGAATAGTCAAAATGACGCAATATATCTGCCAGAAACTGTAAAAACGGAATCATCAGAGGTGTCTGATTATCCTAGAATCATTTGTGATGTGCAGTTTCATTTGAAAAACAACTAAAACTAAGCTTAAAACCATGACATTTCATTAAAAAAATCACTTTGTTGAACATCTCATTCAAATATTTGCCAAAAATAAATCAGGTGAACTGCAGGCTGTGTTTACACAGAGCAGAGACCAGATGTCAAAAGAAACTGAGAAGAAAATAAAACATACTTGATCAAAAAATAAATGCAGCATGGTCAAAACAGTATACAAAGATGCATGTTGCTGGAAGCAGCATGTTAACATATCATTCTAGAGTTGCTGTGAAGAGTAGTGTAAAAAAAATAAATTCATTTTGTAGACTTCAAAAAATTGCAAATAGTCAAATATCTTAATAATCCAAGAAACTCCATGTTTTTTATGATTCATGATTCATAATTGTGTCACGCCACAAAAAAATGGTTGTGCTGTTTCCATAAAGGTGCAGAAAAATGATCCCACAGTGAGTAAAAACGTGACAGGAGCAAAAAACCACCTGCTAGGGGTTCAGAGGGTTAATTGATGAATTAAGAAAATATTAATTAATTAGCAATTTTGAAGACAAATTAATGCAAAAGTATAAAGACTGTGATCAAATTCAATTAAAAAAATGATAAACAAGACCAGACATTTGAAAGATTACTTTCTAACCATGTAACTACTGTTATATTTCATTTGGTAATGAAACAGTTCAGGTTTGATACTCGGTCAAAGATTTTGCTTTATCTGATGTATGAGTGTCTTCACCCTAGGAAATTTTGAGCATCAAATACTTAATTTTTGGCATTCTAGTGAATTTGAATATATAAAAATGTGCATTTTCTATACCAATTTACATTGGAAATTTCTTTATTTTTGTGAAAGAAAACACTAAATTCATGCACAATGAGTAAACGTTCTAGCAGTTTTTCAAAAGTCCTCTGTTCATTTCATGTTTTTATTGAAGGCAACAAATGCACATGCTCTGAATATTGAGTATCCAATGCATCCTAAATGAAATCTCTGCCATTGTACCCAGCCCTAGTTCCTGATAAAGTAAAGAACTGGTAGGTCACATATATCAGTGTTTATTTTCCATACACAGTCAGTGGCTTCCCTAAAACCTCAACCCAATGGAACCTGTGCCATACTAATTCTGCAAAGTTATTACAAGTGAATGATCAACACAGAACATGCTGATATGAGCGCTTTACCTGAACGCAGCTGCTTTATGCGGCCGTTGCTGCTGCTGATGTCCACTGGTAGGAAGTCTTTGAACCAGTAGATCTCTGGGTCGGGATTTCCGCTGGCTGCACACAGCATTGTAGCGGTACGTGTTCTCTCCACAACCTTCAGCTGGGGCCCCATGTCTATGGTGGGGAAACCATGGGGTATCTGGTCCTCTGTGGCAAAAGACAGACATGATACGTGAGTGATACAGTTCAGTCTTTAGTCAATCATCAGATATGTTTGTCAACCGAGACTCGGGAGTGTGAGAGTTCACTGTTCATTTCATAACCGTGAGCTGGAGAGGTCCCCCCCACCCCCCGCCCCCTGCCGTGAAATTCAAGCACAGTAAAATCCAGCTCTAATGTAAGTATCGCTGAGCTGCTGCACGACTAATCCTCCCACAGAATTTCCAGTCATGGATGTGTGTGAACAAGACCGATGCAATTTCACCGCAAGCGAAATGTATTCTGTCAGAAAAAGGCCACGACCAAACTCACGTAATCTAAAACGCTTGCTGCAGTCAAATGTCAATTCTGCCAAATTATGGATGGAACATAATGAAATCATGGACTGAAAATCGCATTCCACACCTCTGGCCACACTTCTGAGGACAGACACAGCAACAGCTTTACACACCTTTCCACCCTCTCTCATACTTTATACGTTAAGTATTTCTGCTTCTTATTATTTTATTTATGAAGAAGTCACATATTAGATATATATTATACAATGTATTTACAGCATAGTATGCCTACATTGTCTCACTCTGCCCAGGGCTCCAGACAAACGTTCACTTGGATGCACAGTTGCCCCTAAATTTTTCATTTCGAGGTGACCAGAACATGATTTAGGTTTACCCAAAATTTTTATCTCTGAATCATGTACATTTTAAGCATTACTGCTTTTATGGGTTTACATACTTGCTGATCATTTCTAAGCACATTATGTAAATGAGTATGAACAGAAATGAAGGCACAGACAAATATTTATATAAATTACTATGAGAAGAGGGGCTGCTCTGCTGATCATGCATCTATTATGGCGGAGGACAAGTTTATCGGAGACACTGTACTTTTTTAATGTTTCAATTTGGAAAGCGTCACGCATCTAGCAGCAGAAGCACTGTTTCCAGCCATGCTTTGGCTGCACTTTTTGCATTTAATGCAATGAATGAATAATGTCAGCTGTTATCGTGTCATATTTCAGTCTTTCCCAAAGGCTGAAAATTCATCGTGGTGTAGTACGGTGGTGTAGATTCAAACTGTTTAGAGAAGGAGAGGGTAACTCTAGTTGATTTCTGGAACTACAATTTACTGATGTCTCCTAAAAGCCTCACATGCATCACTAGATGGTACTTGGCAGCTTTGCACAGAGAAGCTTATAGTCTCCACTCGGTTACTGCAGCACAGAAGAAAAATGTAGCTTAAAAAGAGTTAAACAAGGTGTTCTAGTGTCAAAATTGGCCTCAGATGAAACTTAGTGATTTTATCTACCTGGGCAGGTGGCTCTGAGACACATAGACAAACATGCAACACGTCAGATGCACTGGTGAAACCAATAAGATTGTTTAATTGCACTTGACACATTTTTGGTCCCTACGTCAAAGGTTTGAGGTTTTAGGATATTCTAAGAGCCAAGCATTGCACATCTTTAAAACCACAAGAGTGCGGGGCATGCTAATAGGATATGTTGGTATGTTGGAGTCAAAGTAAAACAAATGTATGTATACATCTGTTCATATACTAAAATGCAGGATACATGAATAACCATGAAATCACTACATCACTTTGTGTGATAGCTGTGTTTACACTGCAATTGTTTTTTTCCCCAGTAAATAAAGGCAAAAATCTACAAAGTCATATGTTTGTTGCGTCATGACAGCAGCAGAAATATAAAATGCCCTCAAGACAATACATTTAATTTAACAGCCTCTAACAGCAGTCAATAAGCTCAACGGCAGCAGCAAATCTCCACAAATTCTGGAATAATATCCATAGAATCACAGGTTAACAAGCACCTTGTCTGCTGTCTGACTCTGGTACAAGCAGTTTTTTTTATTCTTCAGCATTTACAAATGTCGAGGGCAGCTGGTAGCAGCAGCAGCAGCCGCCAAGTCGTGAACAGTCTCAGCACGTATACGGTGAACTCAGACGGAAAAACATGTCAATTTGTCACCACCTACACTGCTCAAAACTAAACATATAGAACAAAACTGAGTTAATGATGCTGTTTTAAACTGTGATGCTTCCACTTTGAATGCTGGAAGTCTAGTAGCAACTCCTGCCGACAGTTGGAGATGCTAAACTGTAAAATGATGCAGGTAAAAACCTCCGTCTATGAGCTCAGACCTTTACAACTTGTGAATAAGATCATCAATTATTCATCAGATTAGTTGCACAATGCAGGCTTGACTGATGGTATTTTCATCTTATGATTCTGTATTAAAGAATGGTCACATAGTCGACATGAAAATGAGAGGCTGAAGTCAAAGAACATCTTGAAAGGTCAAGCAAATGCTTCCAATGAACACTGTTCCTTGCAAAAAACCTTGTCGATTAAACAGATATTTAGACTTTGAACATTTTGTGCTTCAGCACTGTGTATTCAGGCCCAATATATTTCAATAACTTTCTAAAAACTCTAACAAAGTTGAGTGGAAGCATATTTTGCACGGTCATTGCCATGATGAGTTGCATTATATTTTCAGCCCAAACAGGGTCACAGCAAACCAGTATGACAATGTTTACTCACAGATGCTGAGTGTTGCTGACATTAGCAGTACGGGCACCTGTAGTCTTCTTTCCCTGCAGGTTAACATCCACATATCTCTGCTGGATGTGGCTACGCATTGCTCAGGTCAAGTGGTTATATTCCAGTTTTATTCTGACACAGCCTACATGCAACCTTGTTTTCATTTTCTGCATCAAAATTCTTGTATTAAATACAGCTTCTGCTGTGAGTCACAGTGGTTCAGAGTTGCTTGTCAACACATGGGAGCATTTTCTACATCTATATTTATATTAACTTAAAACTATTCTTTGCCAAGTTGTTTAACAAAATCAGCTGCATACTTATGATTAAAAAAAACTCAATTTATATTTACACCTACAAGAGACATGAATAGAGATGAGAGTGGGGTCAGCACTATTTGAATATGCATAGTTCTTTCAAAGTGCGTATATAAATATGGACGTAGCCACCGTGCTGTCATCTATCGGCTTGTGGAATACCGTTTTACAATTAGGAAGTGCTATTTTGTTTTTCAAAATCAGGAGTAATGAATGAGGGGTTGATCTGGCTGACAACTTGAGGATGGCGAAAAGGTAGCAACTTGTCGATCATAAGATGGCCCCATCCTAAAACATAACTTCTACTTAACTTAAAATGGGGCCATAATTTATTCAATTAGTTATGCTAAGCTTTCCTAACTGTTACTCTCGGTGTGTCTCCCTTTTATTTCAGCCTTACAGTCTTCTCAAAAAATCAAAACTTCATTATTAGATTAAAATCCTTTTAAATGAGAAAATTGTCATCACCCATTATGCTGTATATTAAAGTCGACTGCCAGCAATTATGGGCAGCAATGGACAGAAAACTGTGAATAATAAATTCAATAATGTACTGATAAGATGAAAACCCTGTTTTTCAATCATTACTTGTGAAAATTATACAGCGGCTTGTTTTGACCTTTTGCTGACCCATCCATCCATCTTGGACTCGTCCCTCTGTGGACTCTAAAATGACAGTGATGCAGGTTTTTAAAAACTTCAGCATGTATTTTTGACGAGCTGCCTGCACCATGCTGGGACGGCCTCTAATAAAGAGCTCACAATGGGGCTGTGCAGAAGGGAGGAAAGATGCTCTGGTGACAGATATGAAATGAAACTCCGGGGAACAAAGAAGCCGTGACAGCCAGGCAGTTTGAAAACTGGTGGAAGACTCCCAACATCGAGAAACAGCCTCTTCATTCCACACAGTAAGCAAATGAGACCAGTCATCTGTCATGGTTTCTGCTGGCAGCAGGGGGAATAGGAGCAAAAACCAAAAACACCTGAGCAGGTTTACTGTTAGAGGACCAGAGGGGCACTTAGGCCACTCAAGTGCCCCACTGCTTTGACATTAGTCTGAAACAAAAAGGGCTTCAGGGCACTGATAAATCATGTCTGCTGACAATCCAACCAGTTTTTTTGAACAGATGCTGCAACTGCTGTTTGGTGTCTTCAAGTTTTATCGCTTTTGAAATGTTTGTGTTGTTATTAGACGAACTGCCAGTGTGTGTGGATGCCAGGAGCTGGATTCATCAAACATCTTAGCTAAGTATAGCTCCCAAATGGATGATTTAGGAGAACTGGCTTTTTCACTGCTTACAAACACACACAAAAGAAAAAAATCCTATAACATAACTTTTAATAAGCTTGTAAGGCCACTGGGCTCTCTGTTGTGCTTTTACTAAACTTCAACTCTAAAATGACCTTTTTATACAACTAATCTGCAACAGCAATTTTTTTGAGGGGAATGTAATGCCACTGTGCCATCAAGATAATAACACATCCATAGAATGCTCATTAACAACACATTTAATTAGTTTTCTTCCTAAATATTCCGTCTTTCAATACAATATTTACTACTGACTGCAAAACTTCTTTGTGCTGTGTTTAGACTCTGGCAGCACTTAGTTAAGGTTCAGGAAAAAATTATGGTCCGCTTTATTATAGAAAAAGTCTGCTGTGATCTTATTCATGAGGTACAAGGTGTTTCTAAAAGTTTTGTGGGAAACATAAACTAAAAAATACAGTCTTTGTTCCACTTTAACTGAATGCTGCCATATCCTCGCCACTCCTCGCAATCTGGAGTGTGAAGTCCACTCTCTGGAGTCAGAGTCATGCATTTCTTCAGTCTGCATCAATCCTGACCACGTTGCTGTGACTTCATTCACTCAAACACTTCCTGTGAACATGGCAGCAATGTTCAGTATAACAGCTAGTGCTACATAAATATAATTTCTAGGGGAACAGGACTGATACTTTTGTCTAATGTGGAGATTTTGAATACAAGGCAAAGAAGTGCAGGACAGATGTTATTGGCTGACATTGGTCTATCACACATGCATCAGTACTGGGTGTAGAAGTTGTTTTTTTTTTAAAGTTTTCTTCAGAGAACATAATAGAGATGG